CCGACACGTGCTCCCTAACCGCACTTTAGTAAATAGATTTTTAACATCAAATGATATCATTTTTAGATTTAAATGTGATTTTGCAAAATACTTGACTATATTAGCAAACTGAAATGAACTCTTAACAATGCTCGGGCTGGATCTCAAATGTTTTAATCGTTTAGCTAACATCAAGCCTAGTCCGTAATTAAACGTTTTGACAGATGATAATATTGGTCTTATCGGTCTATTGGGTTTATGTACTTTCGGTAAACCGTACAATCGTGCAAATCTTGATCCGACCGGTCTAGCTAATTTATATTCAGCATCATTTATAAAACCACGCTTCCGCAGTTGTAGTAATAAACGTGTGAGTTTATCTTCTTTGCTGATTGTTGGTTTAATAGTTATTCGCTTAAACGCAGTCATATCATTAACGATATCATTCATTTTCTCAATATATTCACTTTTATCGAGAATTACAACTCCCCTTCCTTTATCCAGTTTATATATAACAATTGAATTGTCGTTAGATAAATTTCTCAATACCTTCTTAAAGTTAGAAAGCAGCGACCGATTCCGACGTAACTCACGCTCAGTATGATTGATGAAATTATCCGTAATTCGTCGAAGTTTCATAGCACCGTTGATTTGAACAGGTGTTAATTTGTGAGAGATAATTTCATTGACGTCCTTCCGTTCATAATCACGATACTCAGTTTTGAATCCTAATAATTTCGTATAAAAGTATTCGATACTACTAATCAAATCTCTTTTATTTAGTGTAGTCGATGGATATACATGTATTAAACCGTTAACAAGCGCCTTCTCTTCTTGCTCGGATAAGACTCGCTTAGAATAATTCAAGATAGGATTAACAGTATTCAGCATTAACTTTGGGGTTTGACGATTTGAACTTAATTTAAGAAGTTTATTCACTAACGTTTCCTTCCAGGTTTTTCCTTTATCATTCACTAACGAACATTTTATAATTTGTAATTTCTCTACGACAATTGGATTTACCAAAGGTTGGAAATGAGAAACTATGTTCTTTGAATGGCGATGAACACGACTCAATAACCTGCATTTATATTTGATTTCAATCTTTAATAAATCTTGTTTTAGCTGCACAGCAGCTTTACCAAATTGAAGATGACGTGGTAATCTTATACGGACAAACGTTGGTTCTAATTGTCGACGTTGAAGATGAAAGACGCTTTACATGAACGTCTTTTCGGTAAGCGATGTTGATGAGAGAAAGAGAATTTTTATAGAGGTTCCATTTATTCTAAATAGCAGTAGAATGTTGAAGAATGATTTACGAAAATTTACTAGTATCCATACCAAAATACAGTGCAGGGTGCCACTTTTTGAATAACTTTTGATAGGAATGAGATAGAGGCCTGCGGTTTTCGCTGTTCAATAGGCAAGACTTGAGCAGAACTTTTCACTAGCGGAAGCAACTTTTGAAAAAATTCCAGAGACCAGGTTTCCAGAGGATCTTTGAAAAATCGGCTTCGTTCTCAGAAAACTAAAATACAATGTTAGTAACTTTTTTGCATGCGTAGATAGTCCGGACGTTACTC